AATATAGTAATTGAAAAAATATAATTTTTTTTTTTCTAATACTCATAATAGACATAGAGAAGTACCGCTAAGACTGAAAGGAAAATTTTATAAGATGGTGGTGAGACCTGCAATGCTCTATGGCGCTGAATGTTGGCCTTTAAAAGAGAAGCATAATAATAAGTTAAGTGTTGCTGAGATGAGAATGATTAGGTGGATGAGTGGCTTTACACTTAGAGAGAAAATGCGTAATGAATATATTCGTGATAGGGTTGGTGTAGCTCATGTGACAGACAAAATTAGAGAAAGCCGTCTTAGATGGTTTGGTCATATTAAATGTCGACCATTAGATTATCCGATTAGGAGAGTAGATGTTTTAAATTTGACTAGTGTTAAGAAAGGCAGAGGTAGACCTAGGAAGACTTGGGCTTATTGTATTAAAAATGATCTTAATTTACTGGAACTAAATGAAAATATGACACTAAATAGGACGCAATGGAGAAAAGGGATTCATGTAGCCGACCCCACGTAGTGGGATTAAGGCTTTGTTGTTGTTGTTGCTGTTGTTACATTACTTCTCCTCCGCCGTCCATGATGAGTTCATCTAATCAAATCCTAGCAGCACATCATCTAAATCCAATTACACCAGAATATCTCACATCGTACAAAAACAACTAGTCTTTATCCCACTAAGTGGGGTCGACTACATGAATCTTTTCTCTCCGTCCTATTGAGTGCCATATTTAATTATAATAAATTAAGATAATTTTTTATACAACATGTGCAAGTTTTTTTAGGTCTACCATTCTTAAAATAAATAAAATCTAAAACATCTACTCTCCTAACTTCTTATTATTCCAAAGCAAAAAACTGGTGTTATAATCGAAGAGTTGAATGAATAAAAGGAAATATAGGAAAAAAATAAGTAACATAATTTCTTATGTGGATAAACTATAATCGGAAAAATCACGAGCATAAGAGGAGAATTGACAATTAAAGAAAATATATTTTAAGTGGAGTGTTAGCTCACACAATACCGAATCAAAGATACAAATATATTGTCATACTAGGAGAGAAAGTTTAAAACTATTAGGAAAATCTTTATAAAAAATACTCAAGTGGGGGCCAATGAAGCAAGAGCATATGGATTGCAATCTAAAATTTATTTTAAGATCTATCTTATTGTTGAGGCTTTTAAACCGTGTACTCATAATTTTTAGTAAGAGTAAAACTCAAAATTTGGATCACAAATTTTAACAGAACTTTTATTGAAAAGTTGAATCACATTACAGTCATCTAATGGAATGCAAGTTAAACATCTGTTTTTCAACTCTTCCTCCAAAGAAGCAATAAGAAAACCCAAACGTCCCAATTTGCAATAACCCAGAACTATATGTTTACATATATGCTAACTGTTTATTTCAATTACTGAAACTAACAGTAAAAGAATCAGCATGGGCACTTCATTATGACTAATGATAAAAAATTAAAGACTAAGATGCAATTAAAACAGGATCACCAACTAACAATTTACTTTTTATCTATTTTAATGAGCTTATAAAATAATATTCAGTGATTAATTAACTACTTAAAAAATTAGTATTTTATGGCTAATTACCTATTTAAACAATTTAAAAAAAATATATATTTAGTTTAATGACAATTTAATCAGTCTATAATTAGCTTAAACTAATATAATAATCAGCAACTAATTTAGTTTCATGGCGAACCAATTAAAATTATGTTCTATCTTATCAGCCTATTAAAAAATTAACGAATCTGTGCTTTCATTATTTTAAGGATAGTTTAAGTGCTATAAAAATAAACTCTTACAATAACTCCTTTCTTGTTGATGGCTTTTTGTTGCCCGACTTATGCTTTTCTTTGTTTTGTTATTTATTATTATTATTATTTTTTTTTTCATTTTAATTTTTTTATTTTTTGCTGTAAGAGCTTTTCAAATAAGAATGATTTAAGTAGTCTTCTTAATCAAATTCTGAAAAAAAAATAAAAAAATGAAAATTGTCCAAAATTTTCATCTAAGCAGTCCCTACTTATTAGAGGCTTGTATGCCAACCTCAAAAACAAGCGGAAAAACATAAACTAAACAAAAGATAAACTATTTTTTTTAATTAACTGATGAACCTGTTATTTGTTATTTTTTGTATTTGAAGAAGATAACAGCTACTGGATTTGAGAAATTATAGTAGATTTCAGGGCTAATGAACATCATACATTGCCTATATTTTTCACATGACTTGTAGATTTTGTTGAAGAGTAAAGTATCAAAATAGTCCCCTTATTTATATGAGGCTATGAGTCCCCTACTTTTAATATGCCAAACTAGTCCCCAGTGACCAATATTTTAACCTCGATTAAAAGTTTCTGGAGATTAAATTGACGTTCTTATATAATTTGAGACTAAAATGGCTCCTCAAAGAATCAAGGGACCTTTTTGATATTTTTCTCTTTTACTGATATATTTGTTTCTCATTCTTTTGTTTGAGATGTATCCTTTACATTGAAATGATCCAGTAATATATGAAATTTTCACCATAGGCTTGAAAAACTTGACTTCAAGTGCTACTACACCAGAACTAAGATCACAGGGACCTTGGTTTGTTTGGCTGGAGCTGTAGCATTGAGTCTCTTGCAAAGTCCTGTGGAGCCATCTGTTTCTCAAAGATCATCAGTGTTGCCGAATCCTTCGCCGGAGAATGCGTACAAGGACTGGCTCATTGGTTGTTCCTGTCTACTGGGAGCAGTTCTCGTTCTATCCTGTAGCACAGTTCTGCAGGTTAGACATAAATGACTCTTGTTATTTCACTGGAAAAAAAGGGGGTTTTTGCATACATAACACCCAATTCTTATGCATTTACTTAACTCACACCACCCAAACTTTGATTTTTTGCAAGTTAAACATCCTATCTATAGGTAAAAGTGTAATCTACCTTTTCATACATCTTTTCAGGCATAGGAAAAGATGCTTAATTTGTAAAAATGAAATCTTGGGTGTCAGATAAGTAAATACATAAGAATTGGGTGCTATGTATGTAAATTCCCCCCC